AGGGCAGCCCCAGGAACAGATTCTACCGCATGTATATCTCGGAACACATCCAATTAAGTCTCAGTGTGAATCCATTTGAGCCTTCTTAGCCTCTAAGGCGGCCACCTGGTCCTGAAGGAGGGAGTTGTCTCTATCCATCTCCCCAATCCTCTCATCAAGCCGCTCCTCTTTAAGTATTGCCGTCTCCAAGTCGCTCTCTCGCTCGGAACAGAGAGTACGTATCACTACCTCGAGGGCCTCCGCCTTCCTCAAAGCCGCCGACCGAGTAGACTCCGCCCTTTTCGGCTCATTCTGCTTCTCAGTAATCTCGCCATAAAGAACCTCCATCTGCAGATGACACTCCTCCAAATGCCTGCGTCGCTCGACCACTTGTGTCTGGAGATCACCACATTGAGCCTCCACGGCCCTGCTAGACTCGAGCTCTTCCTCTTTATTTCTCAGCATCCCCTCAAGGACGTTGTACCTCTCGATGACCCTCACCAGCTCGTCATCCTTCTCTTTTAGTTCATCTTGAAGGGTTTGCAAATTTCCGCCCTCACCAAACTGCCTACAAATTTCCTGGTACTTGCCATGGTACTCGCGGTATTTTTGCTGCAACTTCATAAAAATAGCCTTACGCCTTGCCTCTCTTCGGGCGCTTTTGATTTCCAAGATCATGGTCTGAAAGAGAAAGAAAAAGAAGGTAGACAAAATAAGAACGAAGCTTAAAATTTTGAACATAATGGACAAAAATAAGAAGCGTCGAAAAACTTACTCTGAGAGCGAGGCCGACTATACTCCTCGATAAAGTAACATCATCCAGCTCTTGGAGGGTTCGACCCTCCACGTCGGAGCAAAGGGGACAGAGGGAAGGAACCATGTTTTTCGTATTCTTTAATAAATCTCGATCCATGAGGATTGCAATGGTCCTCGTGGACCCCTCCAATCTCACTCGAGCTGGGTAAATCCTTCCTCCATCATCCTCATCTCAACAGCATCAAGATCAGAACCCGTCTCATAGCCATCTTCGGCAACGCCTTTGCCTCTCCCGTCGGCCGGTGAAAAAGCATCGTTAGCCGGCTACGAGGTCGACGGCCCCTCCTGCCACAAAATATCATAAGCCACAACGGCCGGCCCTTCGGTTTTTATCGCCGCAAAGGGATGAGATACATCCTCAACGAGCTCCACCGATATCGAAACCTCAGACGTTATATAGACGTCATCTTCAAGTATTATAGTCGCCATCTCGTGAATGACAAAATCATCCATCACGGAATCTACAGCCTGGGCAACCCCGTCACCAACATCCACCGACCTTCTCTTGCGAGGAACCAAATTCCCATCGCTCGGCAACGATTCCTCTTCCTCGTTCACAAGACGGAATAAAGGAGAAGCAAGAAGCTTCGCTGTCGAAATATTTGCAGGTGGAGAAGAAACCGATGCTGAGGCAGCGGTAGATGGGGCCAAAGATCGAGCAGACCTAGCCGCGGTCGAGGAGGGGACAAAAGCATATGAACGAGAAGGCCTAGCCACGGTCGTAGGGGGATAGACGCCGAAGATGAGGTAACTTTCCTCTTACGGAATGTAGGAGGGGGAGCTCTCAGCCTCTTCAAAGATCCTCAGGTTGGAAAAGAAAGAATCAAAATAAAGTTATCACTATCATCAAAAGCAAACTATAAGAAGTAGGCGACTAAGAGGCCAAAACAAAAAAAACAGAGAAACTCACCGGTCAAGGAAGGAGCGAACCCGAACTTCTTGCAAAGCCTGGCCACTTGAGAATTCCCACGATGTGAGGCAGAACCCGGCCAACCCAGTCGGAAATATCCCCGACCAAAGTAGGGGGCGTAGTTTTGGCTGCACAAGAAGGGAACAAGAGTTCAAAACCTACGACTAAAACATACAGATCAAATATTTTAACGAAGAAAGATTAGACGCTTAGGAGTATAATTCCAAGTCTCGGGGAAGCCGTCCGCATTGGCCACCACATCTTCGATTCTGACAAAGAAACAATTGTGCCAGAAATGACGGTTCACCTTGTCATCCATCTTCACAACCAGGTATTTGCCCCCTTGATGGCGAAGGTGTAATATTGTCCCCTATAGAAACTAGGGGCGAAGAGATGCATCAGATGTCGGAGTGTGATCTCGACCCCGGTCAATTCCTCAAATTTAGTAAGTATCCTGATGAGATTGTAGATATATGGGGCGAGTTGAGCCGGGCAAACGCCATAGTAACGGCAAAATTCCTTCGCCAATGGGAGAAGGGGAAGGGCGTAGCCAACCTGGAAGTGGTATGCGTAGAACGCGCAATACCCGAGGCGGTGGATTTGTACCACATCCCGCCCTACAAGGACAAAATCGATGCGATCGGGAATGTTGAATTTAGCCCTAAGCTCTGCTAGATCGCCCCCTTTCATCGCCGACTCAGAGGCCTCGGGCTCGTCTTCAGGCGCCTTTGAGAAGTCTGACCTAACTTTCTCACCACAAGGAATTATTTCTTCCACCGTAGGAAAGTTCTCTTCTTCAATGGTAACAGAGACGCCATCAACATGAGGAGGCATAATCACCGCCAAGGGGACATGGTTATTTCCCTCACCGGAACCAGATGACACATTAGCCATAGTTCATACAAAAGAAAGGATATCCAAGTAAAGAAGCGTTATAAGCAACAAGAGTCACTGGAACCAGAAAAGAAGACGCACAACAATGGAGTAAAGAGAAGGAGACACAAAGATTCAATGTGAAAAATGTGTAAAGAGCGAATGAATGCCGTCACATCCCTATTTATAAGAATTTGGGCACCAAAACTAAGAAATTATGCCATCATTACTCAGCACTAGGATCGAAACGGCAGTCCCAATAGACAGACGCATGGAAAACGACACAAGCATCGGGAAAATACACCATGATGACGCATAATGTCATGATGTCACTCTGGTGTAGAAATGACGTAACCCTAAAAGTTACGGCTCACGAAAGACCACGTCATCATCTCATCTCAAACATCGCTACTCGACCCACTCGTCTAATCTTCTCAACCACAAAAAATAGAATCCGCTCATCAAGGTCATCTGAGGCCGACCTCAATAAGCAGAGGGACTAACTGTATAGGTCAAAAATTTTCCCAGAATATTTAGGGCAAAGTAATATTGAGAAAAGAGACAGTCGAGGTCGACCAAGAAACAACGATACTCGTGGTCGAGGTAGAGCACCACAGAAAGAGCTGTAACGACTAGTTTTTAGAATATGATATCAAAGAGAACATTCTAGTGAATGCTCTCTGCACTTGTACTATTAGAGTTTGTTAGGAATATGTCCCATATAAATAGAAAAAAAGATAATGAATGAGGGCATGTGATATTCATTTTGATAAGAGTGGGCTTTTGATAAAAGATTCCCTCTCTCTTGAACGATATGAGCATCACATTCTCATCAAGATTCTTGTTCATATTATTCTATACTTTTCAATCAGATCCGAGAATAATTTGAACATTCTAGGATTTGTCTGTCACTCATCATTGTCAGGAGGGACAATCATCTAGTTCATCCTTTATTGGGTGAATCACTTCTCCGATTTACTTAAATATCATTTATTGTTATTTATTGCTAGTTATTTCTCCGTTATTGCTCATGCTTTTCGGAATATTTAATGCATGTTATCCATCCACCACCAGATCTATATAACATTAGCCACATTTTCGAAACTCACATCTAAAAATATTATTATTAACTAAGTTTAACCCATCATTATATAAATACAATTGTTTTAGTCAAAAATTACGTTTTTCGTTCAAACACTCCCTCCATTTTAAATATTGGAATGATATGCATAACATGTTCCATCACAAGATTTAAAATGTATTATTATTTTTAATAATATTCTTTTATGGCAAATCAAACTTAGATACGTAAAATGGAATAGGAGTAATTATTAAGATGCCAAATCAAATTTAAAATATTATAAAGTGGAAATCATTGTAAGTTTAAATATTTAGAGAGAGAATTTTTTATATTTTAAAAAAGAAAGGTCCAAAGAATAAGGAGGTTATTGGATTGACCCAACCTTCATCATGCACGTGAAGGTTCAATTCAATTTCCCATCTCATGATCCACTTTCACATTCCTCTCCCTTTCCTAAAATTTAATGTGTGAAAAAAAAGAAAAGAAAAAAGATGCCGAAGAACCAAATCAACCAATCGAAAAGAAAGAATGTCAAGCTTATAGGATTGGAAATTAAGTAAGGGGGAAAGGGTGATAGGTGTAACTCAACTTGTAAATCTCGTCACACTTTTAGTCATAACATACCACTCTAACAAGGTAAAGAGAAGAGAAAAAAAATCACTCTTGTTCCTCTTCAATCAACTCTTCACTTTCCGTATCCTTTCTCTCCTTTTTAACTTCTATACTCCACTTAATTACTCGCAAGTTACAGCTAGCTTTCACACTTATGATTAGTCAAAGCTTCTCATGCATTGGCCTAATTATCTAGTAAAAAGAATTATATGTATCTTAACTCTTAAGCAAACAATTTGAAGAAGATTTATGGACACTGAAAAGTAGTTTTTTCTTTTGGGAAGAAGGAAGATGAGACATATTGTACCCACATAAATTCTTAAATGCAAAAAAGGGTCAAATTGTACCTCCAAAAGAAACTTAAAAAGGAGATTCCTATAATCAAGATGATATTAAGAAAAACTGAAGTGTATTTAGCTGGAAATTCATTAACACTGGCTAACAAACATTGAACAACAAAGTGATATGTGAAACAAAAGAAATAACAATCAAAAAAAAAAAAACCTTAATAGTACAACAAACCTTTTCTTTTACATGTCAACCTAAAGAAAAGAAATGTTGAGGACGTTGGAAATGAAATCGACTTTGATAAACACGTTTATCTTCAAAGTAATTTTTTTATGTCAAGCTCCAAAAATAGTACTACCAATATGGAATAAAAAAAGAAAAAAATGTTGAGGGAATATCCTTTCATGCCTAATTCTATTCTTTTTTTAATTTCTTAGGGTAAACGCATCTACTTTCCAAAAACACTTTTGTGTAATTGTCCTAAAACACTCTCGCCTGACGTACAAAGACTGCAAAAAACGTATCCATCCAATTCTCTCCCCAAAAGAATAATCAAAATTGTTTCTGTTACAAAACCAAAGCTAATCTATTACACCCAGTAATTGATTTTTTTGTTCTTCATTTGTAACACAACAAATACTTTTTTCAAGAAAAGGCATCGGTACATATCTTGTTTCAGCTGTAGTTGTTGAAAGGGTGCAGGGATTTCGGGTTCAGGTATATCATTTTCTTTTTTGGATTTCATCTTAATCAGCTGGGAATCGGGATTGATGTGCACTCAATTTTGGAATTTGCATAAACATTTTGTTTGCTTTTCAAGATTGGCCATTTCCCCAATTGTTGAAACACCCAAAGTTGTTGTTTTATAATTCTTTATTTATGTTAGGGATTTGGGTTTTAATTTGGAAATGATTTTTATGTACTTTTTCAGCTGCCCATCATTTGATTCATCATGTTAAGATTTGGGTGTTTTTGTTTGCTCAGAGTTAATTACCTAGCTTTAGAAAACCATTTGATCTTCAATTCTTTGTTGATAATCTATAGATGCAACCATTTATGAGCTTCTGAATCTTAGTACTTTTAGTATATTTTCCTAAAGTGACTCCTTTGGGTTTAAAAAAAACCTTTTAGTTTATAGACAGAATATATTTAACTGGATGGGTGAAAGAATTGGTTTTTGATTTCCATTTCCAAATAAATAAACACATAGTTGTAGCAACTTAGCAATGCAGCCCTTTATGAGGCTTTTGTCATCAAGGTATGGGATTTTTGTCCAATTACTATATTGACACATTAAGTATATGACTGAGTCATTGTTGCTTCCGCCGCTGGTGTATATATTACTACTCTATTATTGCGGCTAAAGAACTAAGCTGGAGGGTCTCAAGAGAACAACAACTGTGCGTCAAACTCAAAACTAGCTAGGGTCGGGAATATGATCCATACCATTCGATTTGGGCCTATTTTCATTTTAATACTCAAATTTTTTCTTTCCGAGACAAATCAAGAGTTTCTACAACTAGAGGTTATGTAAATCTCACAATTATCTCTAAGCCAACATATGATACCAGTAGCGGATCTACATGGAGTATTATGGGTGCTTAAGCACCGCCTTTAACCAAATTTAATAGATTTAAATAGGCAATTATCAAAAATTTTAGATAAGCATTGTGTGAGCACCCAAAACTAAACTCCTTTTCCCTCTTCTTTTGGAATTTTTTCGGCGAGCACCATGACTTCAAAATCTTGGTTCCGCCACTGTATGATACTGTAACCAAAGTAAAAAGATTCTTGAAAAATGCCGAACATAATGTAAGTTGTACACAATGATAATCCTAATCCAAACTAGTGTGTATTGCCTATATAGATCATTTGTTATTATTGTGTTTTCTTCTTATCTAAGACTAAGACCGCATGATTTTAGATGTACCTTGTCCCCCTTTTGACACATTCAATCATCATAGTGGCACTTACAAGCCGGTGCATTTGGAAGTCTATATCGGACATGGCCAAATCATTTTCAGCAACCTCCTCTCAATTTATACTTTTATGTATTCTACTTGCACATTCTGTCGGATCTAATCGTTTATACTTGTATAATACCTCCAGATTTCCGCATTTGATTGTGATAATTGCTTAGTTTTATGCTTATTCCTCAATGTCAGTGTCGCCTATCATTTCTTACTTTGCTTTATTTGTGGATCTAAAATGACCTCTTAGCATTCTTTTTTGGCTGTTTCATTTATTTGGCCTTCCACTTCTCCTGTGTTAGATTTGCTTTATCTATAACTACCCTTTCCTTCTTCCAATCAAAACAAACAGGAAGTCCCAAAATGGAAATGGTTTATCATGAGGACTTTTGTATAGGCATAGGATAAAATTTTACTACTTTTTGTAGGGTATATAGCATGACTTTTGTCCTAAATCTCTCACAGTCAATTTTTTTGGAACTATTTGACGCTACTTCTAGGATTGTATACAATGAAACTTGTGTCCTAAATTTCCCTTATTTAAATTTTCCATGCTTTAGGGGCTTAAAGGTCCATTGTTATACTTTTTGGTCGCTGATAATGCTCTTTTAAGTACAAATGGATAAGCTCCTTTGAGTCCTTTCAATGCTTCCTTGTCCTGTTTTATTTTATAGTGGGGGCAAATGCTGCTTTTGATAATGTAGAGATTATCCTTTTTGTTTAATTACTATAGTGTTTAGGCCAGCTTGAGAACACCTTGACTAGTTCCCAGGTTTCGTGCTACCTCCCACCAATTTAAGTATCAGATAACTCTGACCACCTAGGGTTAAACTGATAGGAAGAATCACCTAGTGTCGCATCTGCTGGGGTTCAAACTTTGTTTTCAGAGGTTATTACAACAACTCCTCTGCTTTTAGGCCATGCTTTGGGGGCTGTAATGTAGGGAGAAACTTGATTCACCATTACAAGAACCAAGTCAATTGATGGCATTCTATCCATCCTTGGTTAACCTTATTCTCCATGTCTTAATGTTCTCTTTCCTTCTTGCTGGCAGTTTCTCTGTCTAATATGTCTCCACTAGCAAGGGAATCTCTAAATAGATAAATATTATTTCAAATTAATCCGTTCGCTATTCGAATTTTTTTTAAGTAAGGAAAATCGAATTATTTCCTTGAAGGGAAGGTGTTTCAATCAAGTGAAAGTACAACTTTAATTTGGTGTCTTTTCAGCTTTAATAGGAAATCTTTTGCTTCTTTTACATCCTCCAACACTTAATCTTATCTTTATGTACCTTAACTTTATTGTAAGTTTATTTTCTTAATCTCCCCAAATGTCGATCCAGGTTGCTGAATTTTGGTGGAGCAATTCCTGTTTACTCTACCATGTGCAAAGAAGGAAGAGGGATAGTGGTCGCATCTGTAGGTGATGTCACGACCAGAGTTTATTGCTGAACTGTCTTTTTAGTTTCTGTTTAACATTTTTATTTTGGTTATTCAGAAAGTAGCTGAGGAGATATCACACAGGGAACAGTTTTGCCCAGGTATTTAACTACAGTAATTGGTAGTAACATTTTAGCTGTCTTCAGACTTAACATACTGACAAGGAAGATAATGCAAATTGAATAAATTATTACTTTAGGATTTGTGGTAGCCATATTATTCTATACTTTAACTGTCTTTTCCCCTTTTATCTTTGGTTGTTCCCCTAGATTTCCTTGAAATTTCCTGCCCTTTTCACCCTTTTCTAGGAAACTACGAGTGCTTTCTCCGCTCTGGGATGAGATACAACCAGAGTCTGTAGATGTACATGATTATTATTAATTTATTTATTAATTTTGATAATATAGATGTACATTTTATCTCTTAAGTTCCAAAATTATTTTGAGAGATCAGGTTGGCAGCACATCTGAATATGTATATCTAGCTGTTTGGAGGGTTTTGCTAAAATACAGTTGTATGCTTTTGTCGAATGAGCATTTTTAAGGCATAGTAAATTGTCGATGCATTGAGAAATCAGGTCCGCCAGAAGTTTCATTGGTCAGTTTATGCAAGCTGAGTTTTTGGGGTTTTCTTTTAGCAAATTTAATGTGAATCCATCAACTGTGATAAATTTCTGAGAGATATTGTAAAGATTCATTTACTCCAATTACTTCTCGTCAAAAAGAAAATGATACATTTTCTCCAGCCATAAGATCTGCTTAATTTTAAAGCACTCGGTACTTATTGAGGTGTCAACCATCAACTCTTGCCAAAAGTTAAATAACACTCTAAAGCATTTCTGGGTTGGAAGTAGGAAAAAATATCAACTTACTTTTTAAATAATGGAGTATTGAAGTAGGCTATTTTCGAGGAAATTGTTCAGTGATGAAAAGAAATGCTACCTATCATTGCTCATCACGTTGGGATTGTTGAAGAGTCGATTAATTTTGGAACAAGTTTACACTAGGCGTCTCTCGTATAAGACCTTAATCACAATTAAAACTTGGCTTAGTTTTGGACTTTGTAGCTACTTCATGTAGGGCTATATTCTTTTGCCAAAATCAGGAAAATTAGTTGACACGTCAAGTACTTGATACGGTGCCTTCTTAGTCTTTGTTAAAAAAAGCTTTCTTCTCTTTGAAATGATTTGGAGGTTCATAGATGTAGAACATATAATATTTGCCTTCTCGGCAAAAAATAAAAAGAACAGATGATATTTGACTAATATGGCTCTGCAACGAAAATGCTTTCCAGGTCTGTAGTTTGTCATTGCCTATGCTAATGTGACTTCACTATTCTCTGGTGCTTTGGATCTTATGAGGCATATTGAAATTATAAAGGAGAATCTTTCATTTCTCCTATTGGGTGGTCTTTAAATCTAACTTTTCCAAATGAAAGTTTTGTGCTCTAGAAAGATTGTTGCGACTTTTCCATGTAGTAGCACTTCTGTTAGTGCCTGACGAGGATATCAAATAGTCAAATCTCTAATAGAGGGGGACGTGAGTGCAGTTGATAAACCAAATTCTTTGTTGTCTCCCTCTTCAACCCTGCGGGTTTGTTGTTCGTGCTACTAAAGGTTCTTTTTTTCCCACTCCTTTTTTGTGTCTGGAGAGAGGTGGCCTGTTGTCTTCTTCTTACATGTCCAAATGAACATAAAGATTGGNTCAGTACAGCTGTATGGTTTATAGTGTCTTTACATTAATTTGTCTTTTTAATGTTTCAGGTTGACTTTCAAAAAATAACAGTTATCACCATCACTTCAGTATTTCCTGATTGAGGTAGATGCGAGCTTGACCGTAATGTCTGTACTCATCGAAGGGCTCCCTGATGCTGTTGCACTCAGGTGTCTTGCACGGGTTCCGTTATATCTTCATCCCAAACTAGAACTTGTTTCCCGTTCCTGGCAAGCTGCTATTCGAAGTCGCGAACTATTTAAGGCAAGAAAGGAGGTCAATTCATCTGAAGAATTTTTATGTGTCTGCGCCTTTGACCCTGATAATTTGTGGCAGCTTTACGATCCTATGCGTGATCTTTGGATTACCCTCCCTGTTCTTCCCTCGAATATCAGACATCTTGCTCACTTTGGTGTGGTCTCTACTGCTGGAAAACTCTTTGTTCTAGGTGGTGGCAGTGATGCTGTGGATCCATTAACTGGTGACCAAGATGGGAGTTTTGCCACTGATGAGGTATGGTCGTATGACCCGGTAACCAGAGAATGGAGTCTCTGCGCATCTATGATTGTGCCTCGTGCCATGTTCGCTTGTTGTGTGTTTGATGGGAAGATAGTTGTTGCAGGGGGTTTTACTAACTGCAGAAAATCAATATCAAGAGCGGAAATCTATGATCCCGAGAATAATGTTTGGGATCCGATCCCTGATCTCCATCGCACACACAACTCTGCATGCTCGGGAGTGGTTATTGCCGGTAAAGTTCACGTATTGCACAAAGGTTTGTCAACTGTTCAGGTTCTGGAAAATGTGAAGCAAGGTTGGACAGTCCATGAGTATGGTTGGCTCCAAGGCCCCATGGCTGTCGTTAGGGATGAGCTTTATGTACTGAGTCATTGGCTCATTTACAAGCAGGAAAGAGAAACACGGAAGATGGTAGTTTCGGCATCTGAATATCGTAGAAGAATTGGTTTTGCAATGATAGGTCTGGGAGATGATATCTATATCGTTGGAGGGGTTATTGGACCAGAGCGCTGGAATTGGGACATTAAATTGATTTCTGATGTTGATGTTCTGACGCTCGGAAGTGAGAGGTCAGTGTGGCGTCAAGTTAATCCAATGACAAGGTGTAGAGGAACGATCCTTGGCTGCACGCAGATGAGAATATAGGTCATGCATAATGAATTGAATTTCGTTGCAGTTTTCTTTGGATAAACTGCTTCAAAGAGGGTTTGAGTTGTGCTGGCAAGGTGCTAGGTGTGAGATGTATCTTTCTGGCCGCTTCCTTACCTCGCATGTAGAATCCTCTTTGCTCATAGCTGTTGGTTTTTGAAGTGAAGCTCTGTTCATACCTTGAATACTGGCAATTTTAACATGAAAAATACATGTATTTGCATCAAGGTTTCTCTAAAATTTTGGAGATAAATTAGCTCGTTGCGCTACTTGATTCTTTTCTATAAAAGCAGTGGGCATGTTTTGTCTTATTTTCAATCAAGTGTACCTTAATCTTTCTTTTTGGTGATTTCCTGTTAGTCAAATGAACAAAAAAGTCCATGTATTAGAACCAAATCATAGTTCAGCTTCAGCCACAGGATGTGTTAGTGGTGCAAGTTGTGAGGAGTCTTGGCCTCGGGTAAAGCTGGAGCATTATTGCATTCTCGTTACAGGAATGAGTGCACTCCAGTAGGAGGCTACCTTTATAATCAGTTATCGTTGAAATTGAGTTTGGATGTATATCATGAATCTTGGCAATCTGTTAACATTACTTGGATTATTACTCTTATTGCTCTATTCATAAGAAAATAGAAATATGACATGATTAGGCTGAATGACAGGTTGACAGGTGACATATATAATGTCGTTTTTGCACTTAATTCACATATAATTGTCTTGGTTAGTCTAGTGATGTGCACTATTATCCGTGATGATTTAATTGAGATTTCTAGGAGAACTTGGGAGACTGTAGTATTTTTTTTTTTCGGGGTGGGGTAGTTAATCAATTAAATAATGCAGAGTCATATATGAGCTATCCCTTTCTCCCTTCTAAGAAGACAAGACAGAAACAAGGCATCATAATTACCAATAAAAGAAATTAATGCTTGGATAATGATGTGAACCCCCCTTATTGATTAGCAAGTAATTAATGCTTGAATAGTGATGTGACATGAACAATGTGGAACCTTTCTTTCTTTTCTTGAAAGAGACTGCTGCATAATTGATTGCTTCCCTCCCTTGGATAAAATCTAAAGTGCTGATAATGCCCTATCCTTTATTCATTTTCTATATATATAAAATAATATAATTGGGTCACAAGTTGCCATTTTCTGATGGCAACTTGAAAGCTACCACAATCTCTTGTTTATTTGGTGTACAAAAGAGTAGCAAAGAATTTACTTTATATTATTTTTACTATCCCTACAATGATGTGATACTATCTAATTTTTCTTTTGGCCAAATATATACGCGGCCCTTAAAGTTGGCTTCAATTTTCATTTTGACACTTCAACTAAGGTCATTACCCATTGAATACTTTAACTCCAACAAAAGTGTACCTATTAAACATAACTTTGATAATCCCAAATCATCTTTGGTGCATGCAACTCCAACAAAAGTGTATCTATTAAACACAACTTTGATAATCTCAAATCATCTTTGGTGCGTGAATATCAGTTGCTATCTACTTGGCAAACAAGACCAATGATAAAATGACATGTCAACAAAGACAAGAAAAAGCTAAACTTTGAAGGGAAAAAAAGAAAATAAAAGAAAATAAAAATTTCCTGCCTGCATCGTCCCCAACCCTGCGCAGTCCTTACCGCCGTCATCCCCAACTCCTCACTGGCCAAATTTTTCCTGCCCCATCTTCTCCAAATAATGAGTAGAAGCAACCACAAATTATCCGAACAAATCAATAACAAATTAAAATAAACTGAGTTTGTGTTCTTCAAATTTGCTTAGGTTTCTGTTAATCCGATCTCGACCTATACATCTCCAATCGAACTCAAATGTAACTATAGACTCTGAATGACAATTAGAACAAAATTCAGTAATTAATTTGATCAAACAGACTCGAACTTAAGGAAACCCAGGTCATCTTCCTCGTCGAGCAGCTCTGAAATATTTGACCCAAGAATCCAATTCGAACCAGCTCAAAAATGCACTCAAACTTTAGATTCAGATTCTAACAAATGTTTCCGGCTAGAATCTATAACAACCAATTGATTTTTACTCAGAATTTTCAGATCTATTTTTTTTTTTAATTCAAGCTCGATGCTCCAATGGAAGTCAAAATTTTCTCCTCAAATTAGATTCTTAGGTAGCAAAAACGATGAATAAAATCAATTCAGTGAAGGAATCCAACTTTAAAATGAAATTAGAACTCCAAATCAAAGGAGATGGAGTTGGTGTCGGAGGTCGTGGTTATCGGGAGAGCTGTCCTAAAGGTGATGACAACAAAAAATTATTTCCTAATTAAACTCAAAATTTAAATTTAGGAGAGAAGATAAAAATCTAAAATTTAAAAAATTATTTTCTTTGCTTTTCCTTTCCACGCTCTCAAAAGAGGGTGTGATTTCACATACTATGTCATGTCAGCATTCGTGTTCAATAGGTACATTTTTGTTAGAGTTTAAGTATTCAATAGGTAATGACCTTAGTTGAAGTGCTCAAATAGAAACTGAAGCCAACTTTGGCCTTTTTCTTTCAAGTTTAAATATAGGGGGGAGAGGTGTCCCCCTATCCAAAACTGTGTATCGCTTTGTTTTGTTATTGGCATTTTAAAAGGCTTGACGTACTTTTGCAAGTACTATAATTTTATTAAAATTTTGAAATTTAAAACGTTTCGATGCAAAATACAATACCTCGTTCCATTCTAAAAGAATGGTGGTGTTCGGACTTTGAAGTATGAGGGTCAATAAATTATTTAGTTTTCAATTTAATTCGAAGATCAATTCGTTTTCATTTTAAGTGAGATTTATATATTTAAATTACATAAAAGAATACTATAAAGTCGTAGTTTTTTTTATAACTTTTAGTATTTAATAAAATGTAGCAAAATGTGATAGTAAAAGGATATTTTGATCCTTCAAGTGGTTAGGTGACAGAGTCGAAAAGGGTTATCTAAACTCTATATATCGAAATTAATATCCTTCTCTTTGTTTTATGCCTTTTATTCCGAAAAATGTGTCATTTTCTTAAAAGAGAAACTTTTTCTCTATACTTCTTAATAAATTTACATGTGCTATTATAACCTAATATTCATGTCCAAATCGAGTATGAAAATTTCTTTATGTGACATCAAAACAGTGTGTATGCTCAAATTTGAAGTACAGAAGATAAAATTAAGAACAAGAGAATGAAGGAGCAGAGAGAAGTAGGAGCAACTTGATAGAGAGAAGGTAGAGAGAGAGAGAAAAGATAAGTCTTCGTTATTGAAAGTTAGTCTGATATGGCGAATACATATGAATATATATTAGTGAGCTAAATTATGCTAAGTGAGATTAACTACCTAACTAACTTAATCCCTGACAATTAACAGAATAACTAACTTAGGGTGAAATGACTAAAGTGCCCTCATTGGTTAAGTGATATTTTTCTCAACACTCCCCCCAAGCTAGGGGCATAAAGACATTTAACATCCCTAGCTTGGAGCTCAAATACTGATATTGCACACTCTGTTCAATCCTTTTGTAAACATATCTGCAGGCTGCTCTTTTGTAGGAATGTACTCAGTTTTTACCATGCCTTGTTGAATCTTTTCTCTTATGAAATGGCAGTCAATCTCTATATGTTTTGTTCTTTCATGATAGACTGGGTTGGCTGGCATTTGAATAGCAACTTTGTTGTCGCAAAAAATAGTAACTGGCTGATCAATTTTTACATCAATCTCTTTCATTAACCCTAGTAACCATGTTAACTCAGCAACAGTAGATGCTAGGCTCCTGTATTCTACTTCAGCAGAGCTTCTGGATATTATACTTTGTTTCTTGGAATTCCATGAGACTAGTGAATCACCTACCTCGATCAAATACCATGTGATTGACTTCCTGGTGTGTGGACAAGCTACCCAATCAGCATCACAAAAGGCTGTAACTGTTTCATTGTTGTTGCTAGACAATAGAATGCCTTGTCCTGGTTGACTCTTGATATATCTAACAATTCTTAATGCAGCTTCCATGTGGGTTTTTTTGGCTGTTGTAGATATTGACTGAGTGTCCGAACACTGAAAGATATATCAGACCTAGTAACTATTAAGTATAGTAGTTTACCTATGAGTCTTTGATACCTGCCTTGGTATGCTAGTAGTTCATCTTCTGCCAGATTAGTTTTGGAGAAGTGTTCATCAAACTCTCTTGTAGTGAGCTTTATGCTTGTGTCAATAAGTGTATTGATAGGTTTAGATGCTGCTAATCCAAGTTCTGATATAAGTTCCAAGGAGTATTTTCTCTGATGCATCAGAATTCCTTGTTTTGATCTTGCAAATTCTATCCCAAAAAAATATTTTAGTTCCCCTAAATCCTTCATTTTGAAGGTTTGCTGTAGAGCTGCTTTAGTGTCTTGCACCAGTTTTAGGTTGTCTCCTGCTAAAAGCATATCATCTACATAAACTAGCACTACAATAGTTCCACTGTCAGTTTTCTTTACAAATATGGAATGATCGAATGGACTCTGAATAAACTGGAACTTTAGTAAGGCTTCTGTCAGCTTTGCATTCCATTGTCTTGGTACTTGCTTAAGCCCATACAAGGATTTTTTGAGTCTACATACTGGTTTATACTCCCCCTGACTCTTAAATCTTTGTGGAAGATCTATATTGTCACGACCCAAAATCCCACTAGTCGTGATGGTACCTAACCCAACCCGTTAGGTAAGCCAATTTTCAACTATCCAATTCCAATAAAATTAATTAAAAGAAATTATCTAAAACTGATACATCTCCCCAAGAACTGGTAGAACAAATCATGAGCTTCTAAGAATAGAGTATACAAAGCGGAAATGAAATAAATACATAGTCTATTTGAATAATATATAAACAGAGCTTTTATAAATCTAAGGCTACCCTGAACAAGAGGCAGCTACAACAGGAATGCAGGTACATCTTCAAGTCCCGCAACCATCGAGCACAGCAACAACAACAGTCANCAGTAGTGACGAGCAATAAAGCATATAACGTTCATATCAGGAAATCTCAGTAAAATACCACATGCTCTTAAAAATCAGGATTTGAATCAAACATCTCGTTTAAACCTAGTTCCAGTAAAAATCATTTTAAAGACATTTTTCCAACAGTTTTTCAAACAAAGGCTCAATGCAGGTGAGCAAAAATGATGAAATCATAAACAGCCCCTCGGGCAAAATATCACTCATATACAGCCCCTCGGGCAAACCTCACAGTTACTCGTGCCATTCGGGCATACCTCACAATCACTCTTGCCACTCGGGCATACCTCACAATCACTCTTGCCATTCGGGCATACCTCACAATCACTCATGCCTCCCAGTCACTCAGCACTCGGTACTCGGTACTCAGTAGGTACCTGCGCTCACTAGGGGTGTGTACAGACTCCGGAGGGGATCCTTCATCCCAAGCGCTATAATCCGCACGGACAACTCACGTGCTATAGTATCAATATCTGGATTTGCANCAAGAGGCAGCTACAACAGGAATGCAGGTACATCTTCAAGTCCCGCAACCATCGAGCACAGCAACAACAACAGTCAACATCTGCACGCAATGTGCAGAAGTATAGTATCAGTACAACCGACCCCATGTACTGAGTAAGTAACAAACCTAGCCGTATGTTGAAAGTAGTGATGAGTTTCTACCAAGGTCGGGTACACAACCAATAGTACACAATAATCCATAACAACATAAAGCAAATAATACCAGAAATAACTTAGGGATAAAATACTCAGCCAAATAATGATTTCAAAAATTATAGTTCTTCCTTTCAATTATCTCANCCAAAATTTAGCTCAAAAATAGCCCATGGGACCCACATCTCGGAAACCGACAAAAGTTATAAAATCTGAACACCCGTTCCGATACGAGTCCAACCATATAAAAATTATCAAATTCCGACATCGGATTGACATTCAAATCTTCATTTTATATTTTTGGAAGATTTTATAAAAATCTAATTTTTCTTCCATAAATTCATGGATTCATGATGTAAATGAATATGGAATCATAAAATATAATTAATATAGGATAAGGAACATTTACCCCAATGTTTTCCGATGAAAATCGCCCAAAAATCGCCTAAACCGAGCTCCATAAACTCAAAAATAAGTAAAAATGACAAGAATCTCGTTTTATAAACTCTCAGTTGTTTCGCGCATCACAGGTAGTGTGGGGCGCTGCTTGTGGCGCAGTTTCCAGTATCCCAAAATTCCCAGCGCCAGGGCTAGCGCCCCACGCTACCCTGGGCGCTCGCGGCGACGGAAAAATCGTTCCAGACACGAAAATAGGCATAACTCTCTCATACGATGTCCGAATTTAATGATTCTTTTTGCTATGGCTCCGTAATTTCAATACGGATCTAATACTTCAATAAAAATTGAATTTGGAGCTCATTTGCTTAATGTGATACCATATATTATTGAAGAATCGACATCCGGTCACTATTTTAACTTAAGCTTTAAACCTTGGAACTAGATGTTCCAATTCATTCCAAAATCTCACTGGACCCGAACCAATTACCCTGGCAATTCAAACAACAACTGTAAAGTATAATTTGAGATATAAATGAGAAAACTGTGTTGTAATACTCGAAATGACTAGTCGGGTCGTTACATATATCGATTTTATCATGGAGATCACCTTGTAGAAAAGCATTGTAGACATCCATTTTGTGTACATGTCATTTTCTGGAGGCTGCAATCGCTAAGACAATCCTAACTGTCACCATTTTTACAACTGGAGAGAAAGTCTCCTGGTAATCTATACCTTCCTTTGACTGTAGCCTTTGGCTACAAGTCTAGCCTTGAATCTTTCTATTTCTCCTATAGCTTTATACTTGATTTTGTAAATCCATTTACATCCTATAGGGGTTTTTCATTCTGGTAGAGAAACAACTTCCCAGGTATGGTTGCTTTCAAGAGCCTCAATTTCAGATTTCATTGCATCAACATATTTAGGATCTCTAAGTGTTTCTGCATAAGAGTTAGGTTCTGTTGTTGAAGAGAATGTAGAGATGTAGACTTTATATTTAGATGAAATATTCTCATAATACATGTAATTGGAGATAGGATAGGTGGCATCATGATGAACATTTAAGGAGACAAAATCCTTCATCCATATAGGAGGGTGTTTTTCTCTATCAGATCTTCTAGTAGCAGTTATCTGTTGAGCCTGTTGAGTTTCAACTGAGACTGTAGGAAGATCAAGTGAAAATTGATTCTGTTGTAGACTATCTTCTGTATGTGAGTCAATTGTTTTTGTAGTAGTTAGAATATTATGTAATGCTTCTGTGCTTTCTTGTATATCAGAGTTCATTTGATATATTTCATTATTTGTATAGTTAGCATCATAGATTTCAGTGTTTGGAGTTTGAGAATGAAACACAGGCTGATTCTAACCTTCTAATTGCCTGTTATCTAGAATAGGTTGAGGTAGTTTAGTCAGGAATATAAGAGGTGAAGATGTAGTAGTTTTCCTGAAGGGAAAAACATCTTCCCTGAAAATAACATCTCTGTTTACAAAGAATGAATGGCTAGATAGATCATATAAGATATAACCATTTTGCACCTCTGAGTAGCCCATTAATACTGCAGGTTTGGACCTTGGTTTAAGTTTGTCAGTTTCCTGTATAATTTTGGCATAACACATGCAACCTAGTATTCTTAGATGATTGAGTGAAGGTTTCCTTTTATATAATTTTTCATAAGGTAAAACACATATAACTGATGAAGGTGGCCTGTTAATTATATACACAACTGCTAGAACACAGTGACCCCAGAATTTGATGAGGATATTGGCTTGAAATCTGATAGCTCTAGTAACCTCTAAGATGTATTTATACTTTTTCGCAGCTACTCCATTTTGTTGAGGAGTATAAACACAGGTCATCTGATGTATAATACCTAATTTCTTGAACAGATCACTGTAAATAGTATTAACAAATTCTGTGCCATTGTCTGTTCTAATTGCCTTAACTATTTTGTTGAATTGTGTTTGAACAAAACTCAAAAAATACTAAATAACAACACACACATTAGATTTCAATTTTAACAAGTAGATCCATGTCATTCTGGAAAAGTCATCAACTATAGTCAAGAAAAATCTATTTCCATCAAAAGTAGGAATCTTGTATGGCCCCCAAATATCCATATGAACTAGCTCAAAACACTCAGTACTTTTAATACTACTTGCTGGGAAAGGTAATCTGGTTTGTTTTGCACAAGGGCAAACATCACATTTATTTATTACTTCTGCTATAGACTCAGCTTTATTCTAAAGCATTTTCCTAAGAACAGTTAGAGACACATGACCAAATATTCTATGCCACAGGTTTATATCTTCAGTAGTAAACACTTCCTTGACTAGTAGACTGTAGTTCATATCCTTGTTAGCAAGCTGACTCAGTAATATGTATTGTCCATCTTTTTCTTTACTAATCTCCTTTACCCTCCCATTGAAGGGATCCTGAAATACAAAAAAATGAGGGTAGAAGGTGATTGCACAAGCTAACTCTTAGATTAAACTTAAACTAAGGCAGATGAAAGACATTTTTAAGTATACTCCTAGCTGAAATTGAGCTAGTTCCAGTGTGTGTAACATGAGATACTTCACCATTGGGTAGATACACCCTCTTAGGATTAGTGTTCTTAACAATGGAATTCTGATTTAGCATTGCAATATCAGATACCATATGATTGGTTGCACCGGTGTTAATGATCCACTCTTTTGGACCGTTTGAGACCAACAAAGCAGTACTCATACCTGCTATATTTACTGCAGAGGTATTGTTGTTGTTTTCAGTGTTAGTTTTGTTGAGAATTTGTAATATTTGTTCATATTAATATTGTAAAAGCTCCTATTTGTGGCATCGACTGTGAGTTATCAGCCCGTTCCAAGTTCTGATAAGTGTTAGACATATGTGCTTGTGCTTGCTGGTATGTGTCCATCGAGTTCATATTAGGCTAATGATTTGTTACTTCTGCAAGAACATTATAGGATGCTGACCCTCCTGTTCTAACATTTCCTTTCTTCTTGAACTTTAAATCCGGACGATAGCCAACTATCTTGAAGCAGTTTTCCTTGCTATGACCTTTGAGTTTACAGAATTCACACTGAATATTATAGTTCTTCTTATACCTCTGATTTTCCATATTTCTTGCGTACATTGCTACATCATAATTTCCTGTAGTGATTACTGAATTTGCACCTAATATCCTAGACGTGACAGCTACTGCCTTTTGACTTTCATCACTTATGATTATTGAATATGCTTGATTGACAGTTGGAACATGGCTTCTCATGAGAATCTGACTTCTAGCTTGAGAGTAAGATTCATTAAGACCCATAAGAAATTGATACACCTTCAGTTTTTGCAGATACACCACATAATCTCTAGATCTTGGGCAGTCACTTCCGGGAACTGGGATTAATGCCTCAATTTCTTCTCACATATCCTTCAATTTTGAGTAATATACAGATATAGAGGAAGTACTTTGGGCCAAAGTAGCTATTTCTTTGTGCAAATGGAATGTTCTTGAGTCATCTACTTTATAAAATCTTTCATATAGATCATCCCAACAGATTGTGAGTTAGATGCGTACATTATACCACCAAGAAGACTGCTATTCAATGAATTCATGATTCAAGACAACACAATAGCATTTACTCTTTCCCAATGGTTCCACATAGTTGCAGGAAAGTTTTCTTTCTTACAAGAACCATCTACCATCCCTAATTTGTTCCTTCCTAACAGAGCAACACGCATAGATCGATACCAAACTGAATAATTCTCGATACCTGTTAGTTGAAAGAAAATAATTTGTATTCCACTCACGTATGAGGGATGAAGGAACAGAGGATGATTGCAATCTATACAAGTAGGTTGAGTTGAATTTCCAGCTGTTTGACTCAAATGAGCGGTATCTTATTCGTTGTTTAAACTCATCTTTACTGATCTTGAATTTGTCGATACAAACACGAAATTACAGAAACTGAATTTGAATTGCGGAAGCAGAATTGGATCAATTCAAAGCTGATTTATCTTGTTTTGATTGCTCTGATACCATGCTCCAATTTGAAGTACAGAAGGTAAAATTAAGAACAAGAGAATGAAGGAGAAGAGAGAAGTAGGAGCAACTTGATAGAGAGAAGTTAGAGAGAGAGAAAAGATAAGTCTTCATTATTGAAAGTTGGTGTGATATGGCGAATACATATGAATATATATTAGTGAGTTAAATTATGCTAAGTGAGATTAACTACCTAACTAACTTAATCCCAGACAACTAACAGAGTAACTAACTTAGAGTGAAATGACTAAAGTGCCCTCATTGGTTAAGTGACATTTTCCTCCCCTCTCTCTTCAATCAAATCAGTGTTTCTAACAAGAATACGCCTATACAAAAAATGGCCATGTAAGTGGGGCAATGACCCAACCGGATCAAAGACCTAAATCCCCAAGGAAAGATATTATTGATATATTGATAACGTCATAGTCCAATTATCAATGCTTTAATGAGATTTTCAGTTTAGTAATAACAAAATGCTTTGACTTTTTGTTCAAATTGGAAAAAAAATCAATGCCTTTTTTTTTCTTCTTCTAAAAAATGTCTATCGATCCAAGATTTGATCTATAAAGCATAGGGATAGGCGGTTATCTTTGGTAGTTCAAACTTATCTTGCTACAAGTGAAAAATTATAATTCCCTCGAATGTCATGTGCAAAGTCTAAATCGAGCTATACTTTCATCTATTCTACTTTAGATTGGACACATTCTTTCATTCATCCTTAATATTTGGTTATTGACCGACGATGATTTGTTACACAGATTACATATTTATCTTGCACTTTAAACAATCAACCTATTCTTCTATGTATACCTTTTAGCATCATATATTTTTCTTTTTTATTCTTTGTTAGAGAGCTGGTTAATTAATTTGATTTTGCGTTCTTTTCTTTCTTACTTTTCAGCTTAACTGATTTAAATGCTATATGGTGCTGTTTTTCTGTTCTAGAACGTTTTTATTATAAGTTCATTTTTCTTGTAGAAACAAAGTTCTTTTCTGAATTTCAATTATATCTTATACTACACCTTTGTTTTTAGTACTAGTGGTAAGTTGAGTATTGTTCGTTAAGAGAGTAAAACTTCTTGTCGCATAAGTAACAATTTACACGGATAATGTAACGATATAATTGTTGAATTCTTCGTGAAGATATGAGAGTCAATATATATATATATATATATAAGTTTTAGGGTACGCGTTTTGCGCGTGTATCCTATATTTATGAGAACATAAATTTAGAAAATATTTTAAAATAATAATAAATATTTATATATCCTATTTAGCTAGCCTATTCAAAGAAAAAATCCGGTTCTACTATATTATCCCTACTAATGGTACTGGTGATGTAGCTAGAAACTTTAACACTATTGTAATACTTTAGCCTTAAGCATAAATAAATATCCTATAACCAAAATAAATAAAGTAAATACTATAAAAGGAACATTTGAGTAAAGGTACGAAGATTGTCTCTAGTACACCTTATATCAATGAGTATATAATTTCTAAAAATTATCTAAGTATTATTAAATAGTAATATAATTGAGTCATAAAATAAAAAGTAAAAAAAAAAAAAAGTTCCTGAAAATAATGTAAGTTAATCTAATATAGCTATTATAATTATTCAAGAAATTATGCGTCGCATAAATCCTCTGTGATTTTTCGAGAAGTTTGTAGAAATATCTCATGAATATTATTGTTATGTTTGTGACATAATACTAAAAATAAATAAGTAACACAAAATAGTTTAGTCACTCTTATTTAAACTTTGTGAAGTAATACAAATTGGAAAATTAAATCTTTTAGAAATTTTGGAATTACGGTTGGCCCTGCGGCTCCTATGGAAAACTTTATAACTCACAAGCGTAAAGTAAAAAAATTATAATGTTAAGAAAATAACTTTTACAACAAATAAATTAATATATAAAAAAATATAAGAGTTGTTATTTGTTAGAATGAAAGCAAAAAAAAAAAAAAAAAAAAAAAAAAAAAAAAAAAAAAGAGAACTCATTCACATTTTGTCTTATACTAAGATATAGCTTCAAGTTTGCACTTAGCCAATTTGACTTTTAATACTATACTATAATAGATTTTATAAAAAAAAAAAATTCTTTCTTCACCAACATTCTTCTTATGAAAATAAATTTATGTATGTAAGGAGTTTTGTCAACTTGAACATATAAAACTCTGTATATAATTAATTTGAAAAAGAATTGAATTGAATTCTCTTGCTATTAGTAAATATAAAAACTTAATTATTTATATTTACATCAAAGGAAATAATATTTTTAATTTAAATTTTTAGTATTATCTCATTTCAAGTGTTGAATATTTAAATTTAATAATAATTTTTTATTTAATAAGAATTTTATTTTCGAAGGATAAAAAATTCGATATGACATTTTACTTTTGCTTTTTATGTTTGCAAAATTATTAATGTTATTGACTCTTATCAATTATCTCTCTCTCTCTCTCTATTTAAATTCGTAAATATTTTTTAGTTATTTGTTCTAATTATTGACTATAGTTTTAAAATATTATATAAAAAGATGAAAAAAAAATTATTATTTAAGTGAAAGGTAGTTCACATATAATATAGAAATGTGAAATTGGCCATTTAACAAATTATTCATCATTAATTGATACCGCGATATTTAACTATCTGTATTTCTGTATTGTACTTATTTTGACCTCAATTAGCAATTGATTTATGCTATCAAGAAATTAGCACCTCCACTATTTCATTCATGTTATTTATTACTAACAATTTGTTTGACAAATAAAACGTTTAGTATCGAAGATACTATAATTATATAAGCTAAATTTTATTGGACTTTGATACAAAGAGCAATCCTGAAAGACCTCACTTTCCCTTAAGGTTAAAAGAAAAGGGAGAAACATCCCTAATGGTCAGAAGAAGTACTATTCAAAGTCTATTCAATCGTCAAAAGAAGAAAGGACCACCCCACCATCACTGTCTAGTTATTGTTCATCATCCATAATGATCATTTCAAGTAATTGCATCATTACCATTGCCAATAATATATAAAGTCCTAAAAATATAACTAGAGCTAGGAAAAAAAGGGAAGGAGGAAATAAGCTTAGAGACAGAGAACATCGTAAAGTCTTACTTTTTTTGAGTTTACGTTATTTTCTTTGAGCGAGTCAATCCTAACTTATTTGAGATTGAAACGATATTGCATTATTTCCTGAAGAACATTATTGGTTTGACTATTACATTTTAAAAATTGATTAGCAAGATTAATTGTCGCTCCAAATAACGGGTGTATTCTTGAGAGTGAATCCCGAGATATTCACCTCCAAGTGCGTGCAATCAAGAGATGTAGGAAGCGTGAGAGAAGTGCAGTTCAGTTGTGGGGTGTTGGGAAGAGAAAGAGATGTATTTCCTTTACATTATTATTATCACTTTTATTATTGGCCCCTCCCGTCCTTTCAATCAAAAGGACAAAACTTATATCACCATAAATTAGCTGAGACTCACTTTAAAGTACTGAAGTGGGCAAAATAACTTATTTTTCCTAAAAGTACACTATACAGTTCACCCTCAAAAAAAGGCAAATAGAAGAATTAGTGCGAAGTATCTTTAGCTTATCCATCTTCTATTAAAGTCTTCATTTTTTTCAGAGGAAAGTTTTTAAATGTTAAATGGTGATGCTGAGGAACAATTCAAAAAGAGCAGTGAGCAGCAAACAGCAAAGTTCTATGGCTGACAACGCTACTTCATTTCCAATATCTCCCACCAAAAATCATACAAACCCACCCATTTCTCCAAGAATTTTCAATGGATTTCTGACCAGAAGCCTATCTGATGTAGTTGAAGCTGGAATTAATAGCCCAAAATCCATTCTTGATGGCAAACAAATGTTCAATCTTGGCAACCCTTTTGGCTATGACAGAAACTGTGCAAATTCAATCACTAATTATCAATTGGAATCAGAAGGTATTAAACTTGCTCTTCTTTTGGATCCTATTGAGAATGAGGAAATGGTTCTGTTTGGAACAGAGCTTAAAGTTCAAAGTCCTGCTTCCCCTACTGATTTTGGTATCAAGACTCGGGATTCTCAACTCTTAGCTTCTTCATTCACTGCATTAAAAGAATTAGAAAAAGATTCTTCTTGTAGGAGGGCTGTTGCAGATGTTTAAGTCTGAGGGAGATGGAGAGTTCTGAGGACTACACTTGTGTAATTACTCACGGTCCTAATCCAAAAACAACCCATATATTTGATAATTGTGTTGTTGGAACTTGTCTGAGTTGAAATGGGAGAATCAGTGTTCAACTCACCGGCGGAGCTAGGGGAAGAGTTCATTCGAACCCTTTTGCCAAAAATTTCACCTGTCAATTATTTTTTAATTCACTTTACTTATTTACGTGTTTACTTTTTTATTTCATTGGTGAAAATTCTATCTACGTCCCCCACGCCACTATTAATTGCCACTATTGCAGAGTTGATCCAAGGAAAAACAGTGTACAAATATTTAAGGTTCTTAGGGTCGTTTGATAAGTGGATTAATGTGGGATAAATTAATATCAAGTTTGATGGGATAAATTGGGATAAAATGAGATATTCATAATTAAGTTTGGGATAAAGTTTATACTATGTTTCGCTGACAGTTTATGAATAAATTTATAGCGTCAACGGAGTATAAATTTAGTACCACACGTATCCCGCTTACAAAACGACCCCTTAAACTTTGAATATTCAATGATTATCTCTGAGCTGTTTTACATTATAGAACTCCAAATGAATAAAGATGCAATGATCCTGGATGCCGCTGCAAAGAAATGGTTTTGGAAGGCCAGGAATTGGGTAATGTAGAACCAGCAATTGGATGATGATTTTTGGATTAGCCGTTAGCGAGATTTTTTCATGTTTGTCTTTAGTTTCTCGAGAAAGAAGTTTGGCAACTCTAAATTAAAGGGGATATGATTTTCTAACTTTGATTGTAATCATGAATGAATGAAGATGTAGATAAACTCATTTTGATTTTTCTCTTCTCTTCCAGCCTTATTATTATTATTATTGATCAAGTTTATTTTCTCCACTGTCATTATTATTATTCTTGATCACGTTTTTTATTATTAGCAGTAGTATTATTGAAAGACTCGGTCAGTCTTATTATTATGATTCTTATAATTAATTGTACTAAAATATAGTCTTTTAATATGTAAAATTTTTAAAAAAATAAAATTAACTTCGGATACACAAAGAAGTAAGTGTGATGATATGGTATGCTAAACCTGTCATATATTAATTTGCAACAAAAGGTGCAATATTCTTGATCAAGTTTATTTTCTCCTCTGTCATCTGTGTTTGTTCTCTATTATTGAAGATTTTAGATAAGGAAAAGTTACGTGAGTTATGCTCTTGACTATTAAAGAAATGGTAGGAAATTAATGAGGTGTGCCAAATCATTTTGGATTTTTCATCTTATGATAGAATGATCTTTCATCATTAACCAATCTTCCATTTTCTTTCTCTCATATCATGTAGCTTCATCCACCAAGTTAACTAATGTCGTATCAGGCTTTCATTTATGCAAAAACAATTCCGAGGAAGTTCTAATATGAAGTCTTAATCAGCTTTAAGATAAATATATACCAAGTCACACATGATAAATACTACCTATGAAACTAATAGATCATCAAGTGATTATTAACCCACTGCATCATTATAGTGCGACTTGCTTGTACAAATGGACATTCTACTAGTTATTCTCTTAGTTTCAATTTTGTATAAATATATAATATCTGTGTGATCATAAATTTTTTAAAATTCATGGTCTTATATTAAACATGTCATAACATTTGTGCAAATATATAGAAGCTTGTCTTTATTAAGAGAAAAATAAAAAATTTAAGTTAAATTATTTCAAAATTGTGATAGATATTACTCACTCTAGACCAATTTAATTGATTTTTTGATTTTTTTTCCCACACATGTTAAGGAATTCACCTTTTAGCATTAATCCACAATGAAATTGACCATATTAACCTTAATTTGTTCATTAAAAATACAACAAATGCAATTTGTCTCTTAACTCCAAGGGCAACTTTGAAAAAAAGAAGCTAATTCTTTCTTGATATTTGGAAAAATAAAATATTGTGGACCACAAAAAAAAAGGCTAAAAAATTAATTAAAGTAGAACGGAGGGAATATTCTTTTTTGAAAGTGAGTAAAAAGAAATGTTACTATCACTTGTAATTTGTATATACAGAAAAAGGTCATATTTGCTCCTCTACTTTGAAAATAAGCTAATTTCACTTTCTTAGTGTTACTACTTCTACAATCATATTTTTGGATCATATTTATCCTCCGTTCGTTAAATAACTTGGTCCCATCTAGGGGTGGCAATTTGAGCCCAAACCCATCCAACTCGCCCAGAGATTAATGGGTTGGGCTACAATATTTTAGCTCATGAGTCAATTTGGGCTGAGCCCAAGTTAACCCATTATTTTTTGTAGCCCATTCTGACCCATGAAGTAGCCCAAATACAACCCATGAAACTCACCCCAAAACAAAGGGATCTCAACCCAACATATCTAGAAATTTACTTAGTT